TTATGTAAGGGTTTAAGATAAAAACATGTTTATTGCCTTTACTGTGAATAGCTGTTTGAACATCAGGCAAAATTCTTGAAAACACTTGCTGTTTTTAGTAATTTCATTAATCCCTCTTGTGTTTAACACTCAGATTTGTACTCAGGTCTTCAAAAATTTTTGTTCTTTTACAGGTTTTGTGCGTTGAAAGGAGTCATATTTTGAATTGGTGACAAAACTGTAATGTGTTGAAGTAAATGTAAAACTAAAGCACAACAGAAATATAAGGAAATAGAAATTCTAGTTAGGCGAAGATGCATTTGGTAGGGGGTTGGGGGAATCGCAGATACCTGCTTTGTCTCTGGAAAATGCAAAGAAATCCACTTCTATCATCATGGCATGCTGGAACATGGTTATTTTAAGCTGAGAGTATGTACTTAGGAAACTGACACTGTATAGTGCTTGCCTTTTCTGTGAGGCTTCCCTTTATTCCAGATGGCTCTTTAGGAATGAGGAATCATAAACCTAGCACAACAGTGCTGAATTCATCAGTAAAAGGCAGTCATGGAAACACTGCGTGTTTCCATAGGACGGCCATATGTTATCGTAAAAACAGTGCTCTTCCTTGGTGAACACTGAACATCCTCACAGAACAAAAGGGATGTGTAGTAGTCAGTCTCTTCAAATAACTTCCAACTGCTAAGTTGCTCTGAGTGAACTAATGGGAAAATTTAAAGGCATTTAAATCTTAAATTTGATGGTGTGTACCTGATTCCAGGTAGCCCTGAAAAATCATGAAGGTTTTGTTTGTCCATTCACTCTTAAAAAGGCTCTTTCAGGCATTGAAAACACTTAAAGGCTCAGGCACTTTGGGGCCAGATTGGAACTGCAAACACCTGGTTGGGGGTCACTATTACAGGCTTTGGCACAGACATAGCTTTTGTGCTCCAGGGTCCACATGCAAAGGAAGCGTGTGAGAAAGAACTGCTGTTTGTTGGTCTGTCAGTCCTTTTCATTCTGAAGTCTGTTACACTCGCAGCAGTTTAGGAAAAAGTAAATGCAGGATAGATGAAAGACTATACAGTGCATATACCCTTTTGATTTGGAACCATTTCTAATGGTGTATCCCTAAATAAATTTCAAGGGCTTTGCTGACATGAGCTCTTGAAGATATCAGTGTAATTAATTTTCCTTAATGTCTTGTGTTGACAGTGTCACTTTCTAAGTTTAACTTCTGTTGTATTCAGGAAATGGCATAAAGGGCTGTGAATCTAAAGTTGAGGGGAATTTCAAACTGAAGTGTTTCCCGGAGTCTCGCTTTATTTTAGCCTCATTGAATAAGAGAGAAGGGGGAGTGGAGAAAGGAGGGGTGGAGGTAAGGGTGTGAAGTGTTATTTTCCCCTTGCCTGTAAATACAAAGTTTCCTGTATCTTGGGTTCGATAACTGTGCTTTGTTCATTATCAGACTGTCTCCCATGAGAGACTCTTGTGGACTGGTGAAGACTTTCTCCCCCTGCCTTAGAGCTGAGAGGCAGTTACTGCCTCAAGGCAGGAGAGGGGTTTGTTTCAAATTCCTCTGCCAAGTTTGTTGAGCCATGAGTTTGGCATTTAGTTTTCAGTAACAAATTGCCTCCTTATTATGACCAGTAGTTCTGAAACTTCCTCACTTCTGACCAACATGAAAAATTAGGCTGTAAAATAACTGGTACCTGGAGTGACATATGCTGTGCTTTTATGCCTCTTGTCCACCTTCTCTCTTTTGTTTGCTTTGCTAATTCTTCTGTGCTTTTTGTTAAAGGAAGGCTCAAATTCCAAGCTATCTGTTCATTCCATGGGCGAATTTATCATCTCTGCTTTTTTCTGTGATAATCATTTTGGACTAAGTGTATTTATGACAACACACCAGAATAGGACAGAGAAATTGGTCCAGACATGAAATTAGGTTTGTTCTTAAAGTACAGTAGAAGGTTTGGAATCCCAGAATACCTTCAATAGGGTGGATTCAAAGTGAAAAATAAATTATCAACTAGTCTTATGACTTGTTGCAGGGCCTCAGAGCTATATCTATGGTGTTTGCTGCATCTTAAGACTTTTCCTCTGGGCTTTTATCTTGGAAACTTCCCAAGTATCCAATTAACTAACCATACTTCATCTAGTATTAATTTGAATTGTTTTTACCATACAATTGAGGCAAAATACCGCATGATAGAATATTCTGCAGAGCTGCAGATGATTAAATTTCCATCAGCTGTTTTTTGGATTTGGTAGGGCTCCTTAGGTGTGTTTGTGAAATGCTTTTTCCTCGTTCTTTAGATTGGAGTGGCTTTCTAATTTGTTTTTGTTTTGAGATTGTTCTCTGAAGAAGGGAATGATGACCCGTGTTGTCAGTCTGGGAATGTTTAATTTTACCAGCTTCACAATAGTAAGTAGTTTCAAAGTAAATCTGGATTCCGTTTTGAGTGGGTTAATTTTTATTACAGTTAACATGTGGTCCTACTCTGTTTCTCAGTCCCAAAATGAGCAATTGGCACTCTATCGTTTCTTAAGAGAGAGATCAAGTGTTCTTGGAGCCAGCGCATGGGACATTTGAAGCACTAGCAGCCTGTTTACTTCTCTCAAGAAGAACCATAGCTCCTTGAAGTGCCTTCATGCTTAAATATCCTAAAAAGGCATATTTAAGATAAGTACTGTGATTAAGGAACTGATCAACCTCAACTGTGTGAAATTGTACTTTGAGAAAACCTTTTTGATTTGAAAAGCTGGGCTTTCAGCTGAACAAAATGGAAGAACATTTGAGTGGGTTCTTGCAAACTGTGAACACTATCTGACGTTTTCTTCTATGTAAGAATAGAACTAAATACAAATTAAGCAAGTTGGGTGTGTTTGGGGGACCTCTTTATCAGTTTTTGATGTTTATGCTTTCTTCTAACTTAAAGTACAGTATAGATCTAAACATGTAATACAAAGATGGTTCTTCTAATATATGGTTGTATTTAAGTAAATTCATATCCCTTGTTCATGGCCACTGGAATTTAATTACTAGCAGAGGTAATTCATTACGGTTGCAAGGGAAGCCTTTCTACAGCATTTCTATATAATCCTTTATTTCAGGGCTGAGTCCTTTAATGCCCCTGGCCATATTAATGTTTTAATTGCAGGGCAAAAATTTAAAGGCTGAGTATTGCAAAATTAAACCTTTTGTGATAAAACAAAGATGCAAAAATAAAATAGATATTTTTTTAAAGGTAAAAAAAAAGTTATTTGGTTTTTCTTAATAAAATATTAGTTGCATTCCAAAGTTGAAAATTATAGTTTGTGATTCGCCTGGTTTAATATTTAGTAATGAATTATTTAGTAATATTTAATACTTAGTAATTTAGTAAAGAAGAGATTTAGAAATTTGTCTTTCTGAATTACATAAATTATTTCTAAAAGCAGCATCTCTGTTCTGGGACAGTGTCAGTGAGGTGTTTGAGTTTTTTTAATGTTGATTTTTTTCTTTGTGTTTGGTTTGGTTTTGGGTTTTTTTTTTGTTCATGGACATAGATGACAGATTTATGTTAATTTCTGTATCATAAAACTTGACCATAAAGTAGGAATGCGTTGACTTGCATCTAGCCTTGGGAATCAGTTATGTTAATTATGCATCTGAGATTCCAACTATGTTGCAGTTGTTATCTTCATTCTTCTACTTTGTAGCCTTATGCATTCCATTATTTTTGATTTTTGATTATTTTAAAATTCATAATAGAAAAGCAGAATCATGATAATCCAACTAATATGAAATAGTAAAACAATAAATTAGTTTTTCTGTGCAAACTCTTAATTCTCTCTATTTCTGTATATGCTTCCTTTACATTACTTATATAAATGTGCCTTTTAATAAATTCTGTAGCAATATGAAAGCTTAATCCTCTGATAGACTAGAAAAAGCAAAAATTACTCATATGTTGCCTCAATTTGTATTTGCATTGATTAAAGTGTAGTGCACCAGTTTATGGGACTAGTCACTGCATTTTTATAATGGCTATTACAGTGGGAATTCAGTATCTTATTAAAGCTGAACTTTCAGAAAATGATTTCTATATCCTTCTCCACATTCTGTTCTTTGATGGTGTTGGGTACATCAGAATTAATGAAATAGTTAGCTATTAGTTAATGCCAAGGTCTGTGAAAGACCAGTGTAATGATGGTTGATCATCATGCACTGCAGATTTTTGGAGCATTTGGCATATGCCTTGTAGAAGGGAAAGAAGAGAGACTTAACAGGCTGATGTGGTGCAAGCCGAGCCATAAGCTGTGCACAAATCATGAGCCTTCAGTAATGAATGCAAATGAAAACGTACTATTTTTGATTTGGAAACCTGCTCCACGGCAACTGCCGTTTGTAATCAGAGGGTACATGAGTGATATATCATGTATTACATAGTCATATAAATACATCAGCTGAAATTTTTTTGCAGTGCACTTTCTTCTCTTGCAGTCCTCTTTGAATATTTTGTGTTCAGTAATACTACTGACTTAGATTTTTATCTGCAATGTGATTACCATCCCCTTGTTATCTGTTTATGAAGCTATGATTGTATGACATGACAGTTCTTTTCCTTCTCCTCTGCTGCTCTCTCTGTAGCCCAGAGGTTCAGAAAGGAGGCTGGGAAGTGCAGTGGCTTTATTTGCTATTGTAGTGACATATTACTGAGGGTGGATGATAGAAGAAAAAATGGAAATAGTAAGTTACTGGGGTGGAAAAAACAAAGTGTCAAAACTATTCCAGCTTATTTTTCGGGATTCCTTCGTGGATAAAAAAAAGAGTTGATTTACACACACACCCCTTTCACTTTTTTTGGTAATAATTATTATTTTACAGTTAAATTTGACGTCTATTACCTGGTGATTATGTGCAATGAAGTACAGATACACAATACAGAAATGTAAACCCTTTCTTCTGCTTGGGAGCATTATATTCTGGAGTGACACTACCTAATGTTTCTGGGTTTTTTTGTTTTTTTTCCCCACTTTAGATCCCTGCAGTTCACTTAGCCCACCATGCTTTACTGAGGAAGACCGATTCAGCCTAGAAGCTCTCCGCATGATCCATAAACAAATGGATGATGACAAAGATGGTGGTATTGAAGTAGATGAAAGTGATGAGGTACGAATAAAAAAAAACTTCACTTGTGCATGCATGAGATCTCTTTTTCCCCTTCATTGTTTTGTATAGCTGCTCTTTATCTTCCAGCACTTGAGTAGTCATTACTGTTTTTCTAAATTCAGCCCTTCCCTCAGCCAAATATGGAAGGAAAGTCTAGTTTCTATAATTGTCTGAAATGGCATATTGTTGTCCATTGTTCCAGCCTACAGGAAAGTTTTGTACGACTATGTATAAAAGGTGTTATTTTTGTGATTGGTGTAAGAAGTAGGCAAATGGTGTTGGCTTAGCTTGCAGTGAGGTTGATGTGTTACTGTGGTATTACATTTTCTTTGCTCAAAGTTTTCTTGCTTAAGGCATCACTGGCTTTCCTATTTGCCTTTATCTGTTGCAAGTACTTCATGGTGCAAAGCAATACCTTTTACAGACAGCAGTTTAGAAAGATTTCTGGTTTCGCTTACATTTTACAGGCAAGTAGTAATCACCTCCTGCTATAGGTTAATGGTAGATTAAGACCTATGAACTAAGGAAGGTTATACAGACCTGCTTGAAGTTTTTTGTCTGTGTTCAAATGAGTGTGGTAGGCAGGCTACTGGTGGTCCTGGCAAAGGACATGCCCTTGCCCTTACTTAACTTTACCATCAGGATTCTCAAAATTACTGGTAGGAGTGGAAATATCTGTGTAGTTTTGTTGTGTTTACTTTGCATTCTGGCAGTTGTTAGGCACAAGCTTGAGAAAGGAAGGAGAGTGAAGATGTCCCCTAAAAATGAGGGTATTGTCATGTGGCTCTGATACCCATTCTCGCTGTAGATGAATGGGAGAAGAATCTTGCCCTTCTTTGTCATCCTTTTTTATAACATCTTGGGGAAGATTGCTCTCCCTGGATGAGTTAGGTTATGAATTATCATTTGTCAAGTTTAATATGATGCTACTTACTTTTCTGTGTGCCTGTGTGCAAACAGCATCAACAGGCCCCATCCAACCTTACCTTGAGTTCTTTCAGGGATGGGACATCCACAGCTTCTCTGAGCAACCTGTTCCGGTGCCTCACTGTCCTCTGAGTAAGGAATTTATTCCTAACATGTAATCTAAATCTCTCCTATTTTAGTTTAAAACCTTTCTCCCTTGTCCTATCACTACTTGCCTGTGTAAAAAGTTGTTTTCCCTCTTTTTTATACCCTCCATTTAAGTACTGAAGGTCACAATAAGATCTCCCTGGAGCCTTCTACAGGCTGAGCAATCTCAGCTCTCTGTCTGTCTTCGTAGGGGAGGTGCTCCAGCCTTCTGAGCATCTTGGTGGCTTTCTCTGGACTTGCTCCAACAGGTCAATGTGTTTCTTGTGCTGAGGACCCCAGAACTGGATGCAGTAATCCAGGTGAGGGTCTCACAAGAGCAGAATAGAAGGGGAAAATCAACTCCCTTGACCTGCTGGCCACTTTTTTTTGATGCAGCCCAGGATATAGTTGGCTTTCTGAACTGTGAGCGCTCACTGTTGGCTCACATACAGCTTTTCATCCATGAGAACCTCCAAGTCCTTCTCTGCAGGGCTGCTCTCAGTGAGTTCTCCCAGTCAGTGCTCATGTCTGGCTTGGCCCAACCCAGGTGCAGCACCTTGCACTTGGACTTCAGGAGGTTCTCCCGGGCCTACTTCTCAGGGTTGTCCAGGTCCCTCTGGATGACATCCCTTCTTTCTGTTGTGCCAACTGCACTGCTCAGCTTTGGGTCATCTGTAAACTTGCTGAGGGTGCATTTGATCTCACTGTCTGTCATTGATGAAGATATCACAGAGCACCTGTCCTGACAGAAGTCCCTGATGGGCACCACTCATTACTGGCCTCCACCTGGACATGGAGCCATTGACCTCAACTCTGGCTGTGTCCATTCAACCAGTTCCTTATCCACCGAATGGTTCCACCCTTTTAATCCATCTCTCTCCAATTTGGTGAAAAGGATGTTATGTGGGATCATGTTAGAAGCCTTTCAGAAGTCTGGGTAGACAACATGGGTTCGTGTTCCTTCTCTGACCGCTGCATTCACCCTGGGGCCACCAGGTTGGTCAGACACTATTTGCCCTTAGTGAAGCAGTGCTGGCTGTCTCCAGTCACATCATTGTGTGTGCCTTAACATTGTTTCCTTGAGGATCTGCTCCAGGCACAGAGCTGAGACTCACTGTTTTTTAGTTCCCCGGTCTTCCTTTCTTCTCATTTTAAATAGGAGTGATGTTTCCCTTTTCCCAGTCAGGGATTTTGCCTGACTACCATGGCTTTTATAATATAATAGCTCTGTTATTGCAAAATGTTGGGTGGTTGTCATTAATGTTTGGGATAGGCACAGTCCAGTCTGAAAACTGAAACATCAGTGATGGAATGTGATCTTCCTAATGAACTTCCCAGCACTTTGATTGATTCTTTTGACTTGTACTGCATTTATTATACATGGAAGCTGAGAAAGTTAGAAGAAAATACAGAAATATTTATACATTGGAAACTTTTTATTAGTATTCAGAAGATCTGTCCTGGTTTTCAGTGGACCATCTTTATATCTGACCTTAAGTTTCTTCCTGTTGCAGAGGAAGCAACAGCAGCTACTCTTAAGACCTGTTTAAGTGGCTGAAATTAGAACAGTTGATGAGGGATGCTGTTTCAGCTGGGGTAGTGACAGATGAGTGAAACTGTGTATTCAAACTACTCATTGTGCATAAAATAAGATGGCTGAAATGTAGCCCTTGTTTCTGCTAGTTCATTTTAAACTATTGAAGAAATATTTAGTAACCCCCTCCCTGCAAAGTAGCTCTACACATATTTTCCATGCAAATCAGTGATGAATATGTATTTGCATAGGGTGTTTTCTTCTAAGACATTAAATACAAATCTGAAATTATTAAGAAATGCAGTTTAATTGCAAGTTCAGCTAGTAATTTGTATGTTCTTCTATTACTTAGTAGTGCTTTTACTGGATCTTTACAATAATCTTAAAAGATCTACATTTCAACAACATAGTTACATAGTTGTCTGATTACAGTAGGTCTGAATATATGCTAAGTGTATCCTAATATACACTATTTCAGAACCAGATTTTTTTTTGTTCTGTCACAGTGGGTAGTGCTGCTTGCCTTGATTAAAAGTGAGGACTGATAATTAAAAAATCTTTATTAGACGTAAAGCTTACATAAAATGCAGGGATTTTACTTAACAGCAGGGAATGGATTTTCTGTTATGCTGCATGGTTTTTACTTGCAAGACTCCTGGAAGAGCGGCATATTGAGTATGTTGGTTAGATATTCATCAGCTTTTTCTTTGGCAGGAAGAATGTCACAAAGTAGAATAACTTTCTGCTGTTTTACTAGCACTACAACACTGTTACAAGTGTATATTTACACCAAGGAAGGAAGTTCTTGTAAATAAGTTATTTTGAGAGGGAAGGTAAAAAGAGCTAAAGGTGAACTATTTATTTTAACTATTTTAATTTGCTAATCCAGTTAACTCCCAATGGTGATTTCAGACACTTCATCTGCACACAGTTTATTTTTCCTAATGTTTTCATGCCCTGTTTTATGTTGTGGTTTGTTTTTCCTCTGTAAAATGAAGGCTTACATAAAATCATTCTGTAGAGAAGGAGTTTTTTTTGGATATAAGAAAATTTGAACTTGTTAGAAGAAATTTCTTATTTTCTCAGAAATGGTCTGATACTGGAAGCCTGTTGGACCTACTTTATATGGGCTGGAAAGAAGCTTGTATTTGACCTTGATGACATTAATGTGGGGAAACCTGATCTAAATTTTTAGCACGGGATTTAATAGTTACGGAAACACATGAGGGATTTGTTGAAGTCTTCTAAGGAAGTTAGAGGGGCTCTAGTCTGAGCATAGACTAGTTAGATTTTTTTCTTCTTTATTTTTTGGTATGGTACAGCAGAGAAAAGGAAAAAGGGGAAGGATGTGAAAAAAACCCCAAACCTATGCTTATTGTTAGGGCAGTCTAATATGAATTTTTCTATCAGATCTAGGTCCTGCTATTATTACTTTATTATTAATATGTACAAGATTGCAATTGTTTAAACTGGTTTCAAGAGATAGGCTGTAAATGGGTAACTGAAAGGGAGAATGTAATATTACTAACTGAGATTTTAGTTGTGTTGTGGGAGGTTATCTGCCTCAGGAAGCATCTGTTGCACCATGTGAACGTGACTTGTTTTAATGATGAGGAGGCACAAGAAGTAAGACAGACTTATCATATGTTCACTATTTACGTAGGTTCTTCCTGTTTCCAAAGAACCTCCATATGTAGGTCCTACATGAAGTAATTTCCTCAAGGAACCTCTCTATAGTACTAGAATAAATCGACGTTTTTGAAATATTAGTATCTTACTGTGTGTCTGATGTCACACCAAGCTAATGCCACAAATTTACACCTTTGCATGGGCTATTTGGGTAGGTCACTTAATGTATTCATATTTTATTTAACTTTTTTTAATGAGGGAATTTGCATTATTACTTAACAAAAAAACCCCCAAAACCAAACAAACCCCACAGAAAACAAACAAACAAACAAAAGACAAAGTACAGTATGGAGAGGAAAAGACTGCAGCATTGAAAGCATTGAATGGCTTTTAACAGGATGGTCAAAGAAATTCAAACTGCAGAGATGATATACAGAAGTGCCTGACTTAAAAATGTTGTCTGGAGACAAGAATCAAATAGAATCTAGCTTTAGTTGCCTAAACCAGGGAAGATGATTGTCTTCTATACAGTGATTAAAGCAGGAAAATTAGCTAGTATGATCTGATCTGGAATAGTAATAGTAACATAGCACTTTGGCTATAGTAACTCTAACAGGGGCAGAATGTTTGATAACCCAAGATCTTCCTTTTGAAGGGACTCTTTCTGAATGGATGGGCTCTGTGAAGATAATTGTCTGAGGATTTGTGTTCATATTTGCATCCATGATGTAAATAATCTGAGTGGTTCAACAAACCTGATATCTTGAGAGAGAGCATGCTTTGT